CATTATTTATATGTTTTGTCACTCATCCTAATTTAGAGATCTCTTATAAGTGAGTAATTTAAATAGTTTGATCATATCAAACTAATAACACAAGGTGATCATTTTAAACTTGTTAGATCAACAATAAATTTGAATATTAATTCACAACACAACATGGTTTCTTGGATGTTACCATTTAAACTAATAAGTTTAGTACTATTGTTAAGGTAGAATAACTTGAATATGCGTCTATGATGACATTAACTAGCTCAACTAAGTCTCTCATAGGATTAACCCATTGATTACCCTCTAAATACTATGCTCTTTCAATACTTAATTAGCTAGGAACTAAGTTTCCGACTTCATACTTTACTTGGTTGGTCACTTGTAATTAGTATAACTCAACTTTGTCCTTATACTATAGTCACTTTATATACATGTGCATCAACCTTGCCCACATATGGCATCAACTAAAGTCCTAAAGGAGACTCAACTATCTTTTTCTAGGGTCAACTATCCAAGAAGGGTTTTCAACAAAATTGGGCTTTCCAAGCACCACAAGACAATATCCATACGACGGGATATGCAACTTTAAAAAATTTCCTCCTCTAGTCCTAGGTTGATCAACGTAATATCTAAATGTCTAAAACATTTTTAACATTCATCATCTAAGTAACACAACAACATACATGCTTAAAGCATATTCAACATAATTACACAACCAACATAGAACATACAACACCCTACATACAACTCAACTCACTTTCAACTTCCAACCATCAATTGTCTATAATTATCATCCTCTATCATTGTGTACAAAATAAACATTTATCAAATTAAAACTTTCAATAGATTAATCTACTATACTTATGTTCACAAATTGTGAAATTAGACAACTAGTTTTCATCAAGCAACCAACACTCGATGTCACACACCCTATGTTCAACACCATCGAGATAGAGAATTCTCTACCTCGTCCACGCTCGACACTACACACTTTGCACTTGACATGGATACGATAGAGACCCTTGGGACCTCACTCCTAGTGTGGCAAAGTTCCATGTCCGTCTTCATTTCAGCCAAAGAGTCTCTATCCGACTCACAACATCACCATATTAACATCCAACATTATTTAGGCAAAGAGTTTTAGCTTGATCATGTTGGATGCCATTCCACCAAAGCTTAGTGTCACAAAGTTAGAGACCCTCTAAATGATTGCACTTTTTACATACTGAATTATAAAAGACCGTACCCTTAAGATAAAGACTAAACAAAGATTATAAAAAGAGTTAATCATCCATACACTGCTAGTGTAAAGTTTTTTTACACTGGCAACCAATCATATCTTTTAAATTATTTTATTTTATTTTTAGTTCATTAAATAAGCAAAATGATATTTTTTTTTGATCAGCCAAGCAATAAGTATTATATATAATATGGAAGTACCAGAGGTACTCAATTACATATGTAAAAAGTCACAAAGCAAGCCTAAATAATAACTTACTATGGATTACTTAGCTTGTACCTCCATAGTTATAATCAGAGAGGACCTTCTACATTAACAAAATTAAAGTGCCTTAATCGTAGTACAATTAACAGTCTTTAAGAGAATCAAAGCATGGAATAAGATTTGAACACCAATCGTGGATAGAGAAAGTGAATCCTTTACATTTTGCTTTGAGGCAGTGCCAGACTCTAATTTGCACCATCTCCAAAATGTCATTTATATCTTCCTTTTTATTGTTGAAAATCCAGTCGTTTCTCCACTTCTAGATATGACACTATTAAAAAAATGATATGACACTATTAAAAGATATAATTAGTTGCTAGTACAAAAAAAAACTTTACACCGACAGTGTATAAGTGATTAACTCTTATAAAAAATAAGTACAATGACTAAAAAAATATATCTTAAACTATGAGACTAAAAAGAATTAATAAAAATAAATATGAAAACTAAAAATATTTATTTTATAAAAATTAAAATATAACATAAGTGAAATTATAGCTTAAAAACATTTTAATCTTTGTATTTTTGCTATTTTTTGACACCTTAATTATACAGATATATGACTCATATACCGCAGTTTCAGTTTCAGCACTCGCCATGTAATTTTTGGATTGGGTTTTTCTTGTTGGATTTTTCCTAATATATTTTCGCTTTTCAGCCTTTTAAGTTTATAAACGAGTAATGAGCTTTTCTTTTTGCCCTTTTGTTCCCACGTGTCATTCCTGCATGTACTTTTCTTTACGTGTTGTTTTAAAACTGAAGTGAAGAATTACGTAGCATGCATTCATTTTCATATTAATTGAATAGACCTCAAAGAACTCACAAGTCACAAGTTTTTGTGCCACTAACTGAAACTGCTACATAGGAATACATGGTGAATGAGTTTTCTCATAATAAAATTTAATAAGACATCGTGATGTAAAAAGAATTGTGTTTAATAAGAACTTATCAAATTAATACCATTAAAAATATGTACAATTTTTTTTAAGCTTTCAATCCGAAAGGATGTAAATGCTTCGTATTAGCAGTCTTCCCCAAACTTTTCCTAATTATTATCCAACGTGAATTAGGATGGGGAGAAAAATGTAGCACCATTGAAGAGGTAAGGTGGTAGTTTTGTATTGTAATTTAATTGCTAGAATCATTTGATTGTGATGACATTTAATCCACCACCACCACAATTATATCAACTCCCAATAAAGAAACCTCCACCAACAATTGATCCCAGAGATTAACTCGTTCGTCTTTTACAGGCTCAAGTTGTAAAAGACTTTTTGGACTAGAAAAAAAAAATGGAAAGAAAAGAAGGGTAAAAAAAATGTAAATAAAATAAGATAATTTAAGTTGTTTGGATATAGAAAAATAAAAGAAAAAAGGGAAAATATTTTGTCTCTTGTTTAATTGAATAAAATAAAAATAAAGAAAAAATGTACGTACAATGACATAAATATGGCCAATAAAAAGAAGTGTATAAAATAAGGTTAAATTGGTTTTTCCCTTTCAAAAAAGCAACCTTTCAGCAGCTATCTTTCAGATTTGGGAAGAACAAAAATTAGAGCGGGTCCCACACAAATTTATTTCCTCAATTACTAGCAGAGTAACCAAATAAAGGAAGATAACCAAATTTTAAAGAATAAACCATAATTAGTATTAGTTTTTTCTTTTGAAATATAATTTCCTCCTACCTAGTCACCTATTTTAAGGATAAAATATATCTCAAATTGCTAAACTAATGGAACGAAAAAAAAGAACAGAATGAAACGGAATGATTTTGAAAATCAGTCACTCCACCATTAGTTTTTTACATGGAAAGAAAGAAACTCATCAAAAGGTAAATGGACTACTTTTATTCTTTCAAATTAAATATACTTTTAATCTACGAACTTTTGTTAATCTTTATTTCTAATTTTTAAATATATTTATTTAATTTTAATCTCAAAAAAAATTTATTAACAAATTTTTTAAAGTACACTCCTTTGAAATGAAGGAGTGCGCTTTAAAAAATAAAGTACATTCATAATTATTAATTAAAAAAATTAACAATTATTAATAATGATAAAATCGAATGCACACATATATATAATAAAATTTAAAATTAATTATAATAATAATCATTAAATTTTTAATTAATAATTATTATTGTATTTTATTTTTTAAAATAAAATTCTTTATTTTAGATGTAAAATTATACATTTTTACTAGATGTTATTGATTTTATTTAATTATTTTATTGTGATGATTTAATATTGATTGTTGAGAAACTCTGAAATTATGAAATTTCTTATGAGTTCTTTTGGTATCTAAAGATATTTCTCTAGGCAGAGATTCAATTTGATCTTAAAGAGAAGATATTTAAAGTTTCTTTTGAGACTTGAACTTTAAAAACTTATTTTCTCAAAGAACTTAGAGAAAGGACAGTGAGAGATGCTAATAAAAATAATAAATGAAAAATATAGGTGAAAAAATCTTAAAAATAATTTACAAATACTTAAATTATAAGAGAGAGGATAGAGAAAGAAAAAAAAAAAGAAAATGAAAGACATATAGATGAGATAATAATGAAAAACATGAAGAAAAAAATTTAAAATAATTTACAAATACTTAAATTTTAATTCTTTATAAATTTTTCACCCAAATGTAACATTTCATCCTAAGACATTTCAAATTGATAAAAAAATATATATATAAACTACACTCTTAAAATCCCTGGTTCAAACACTATTTCTTCTATATACTTCCTTTCTATTTAAAATATTCATATTTTATATGTATATAATTATTTTTCATTCTATTTTTTACACAATCAAACGATAAAATAAAATAAAAAAAAAAACCTTCTTTCCCCTTATTTTTTCTGCTACTATATAATCTAAAAGTAATTTTATTTTTTATTTTTCACTTTCTTTCCTTTCATTTTTTTTCATAAATAAAATAAAACACAAAGTTACAGCAGAGGTGACAATTACAATGAACCATGCCTTAGGCCCACTAGCATCGATCTCAAATCTCAACCCAACTAACCGCAGTATACTGTATACTTGATTTCTTATTTAAATAAAAATATCTCGTAAATTTAATCCATTTTATTTCAAGGATAATAAACATACCTTCACTACTATACTCGAGAAGCCTTTCTTTACTAAGAGCCTGATACTTACTATTTGTTAAAAGAACGGAATAACTATAATAAGAACAAGAAAATTGACAACAATGTTTAGCCGAGGCCATTTGCATGAATGACTATGACATGTCGTCACATATGGACTACATAATTGAAAAAATATTTGCATTTTCTGGTTTTACCTTATTTTTATTTAAGAAAATTTCTATAGAAAAAGTGGAAAAAAAAATATATAAATTGATAAGAATTTCTCAAATCAAACAGCTCCTTTAGTCATGTCATTCTCGTGAGGCTCATGTGAAGGTTATTCCCTTGGTTCTTCTCAAACTAGTCCTTCACGACTAGTGTTCTTCTGCGAACACAAGGCTGTTTCATTCAAGGTTTTCAGCATTTAAAAGTTAAAACGCAGCACCACAATGCTCAGGCTGCTGTTAAGCAAACAACAACCTTTTGAGGGCGCTTATATTACATTACAGACACAAAAGACTAGTCAACAATAGGGTATTTCAAAGGTTCCAAAAACAAAACATAAGTTACATATTATAAAAATGTAACAAGCTGTCACACTAGGTAAAAAGCACTAGTTTCCTCTAATTAACTAATGACATGCCCGAAGGGGCCACTTCCTTTCCAACTCTTGGAAGCGACCGTGGAATTAAATATGACAAACTTGTCCACTAAAATACACAATAATGACTAGTGCCTAACACCATCATCAATGCATTAGAAGCTGGAAGTCATCATCATTATTCACCACTTTATAATCATAGCCAAGTCTGTTGGCACGACCGTGGAACTCATCCATATCATTTTTGGGCACCTGTATTCCAACTAGTACATTTGCTCCAGTTTCACCCTGTTGGCCATAAAATCATCAGATATGCATAAAAACAGTAAAACACCATGCAAAAAAAGGATAGAAAGTCAAAAATTTCCCACCTCCCCTCGGTAATGGAATAAACTAATATTCCAACGTGGACTGAAGGAGTCCAAAAATTTCATCAAAGCACCAGGTCTTTCTGGAAAGGTGAAACGACAAAGAACCTCATTCTGAACGTTTGACCGGCCTCCCATCTGAAATGTGTTCAGAACAAAGTTAACTTAGTACAACAACACAAACACAGGATCAGTTATTCAACTTTTCATGATAGTTACATATTTAATATGACTGTACCAAGAAGACGAGACAAACTAATCAAATGGGGCGGCCTAGTCATGTGATGTTACATAATTTTCAACATGTTAGCTTAATTTGGACTGGAATTATCAGAAAAATCCTATATACCTAACATCAATATTTTTACAGTGTTTGGTGGTTGGGAATAGTGTTGAGAAAAAGGTAAAGATATAATAAGCTTCACTAGAAAAGAAAGTTTTGTCGCCTACACACCAGGTAACGCAAGTGGTCTTTCACCAAGTCACTTTCTGTGAGATTGTAAGTTTTGAGAAGACAAGATTCCATCCTCTCTTGCATTGCTCTTAGTTCTGAGACTGTGTGAACTCCAACACTGCATGCAAATACAATAGACAATAAAATATTATGAGCCGCCTTAACATATACCAGTTTAAACAGATATTTACCCCAGAGAAAATGGAAGTTAATAAAAGCTAATAAATTGGGACAGAGAGATGTCAATTAACATAATACTAGTGGTAAACAGATAGTTGCCCTAGAGAAAATGATAGTCAATGGAAACTAATAAATTGGGACACAGATGTCAACATTGAGGGTACATATTGATTTTGTTGGAGATCCCATGTTTGACTAGTGATATGAAAAATATATATAGTATATGAATGAGGATAATCTTCACATTTTAAGTTAGTTCTGTAAAGATGAGTTAAGTTCCAATCTACTTCTTAAGAGGTTTTGTAAGGTTAAGTTAGATTTTAATCCACTTCTTAAGAATTTTTTAAACATCTGAAATAAGAAAAAATTATTGATCTGACCTGTATAGGACCACCGCCTTCTCATTAGAGTTATATCTATATTTGAATTCTGTGATGTTGACCTTCCCCACCTGCAAGGCAAGATAGAAAATAAGTACAAACATGAACACTTCTAGAAAAAATGTTGGTCAAAGTAGCAGACATACCAATTGACAAAATTGTTTAAAACTGCCAGGCTCCTCTGGCATAACAGTTGCTAGCACAGCCTCTTGTTTACGACCAACATTTGCAAGTTCAGTTACAACCCTAAGTTTATCAAAATTCATGTTTGCTCCACTGGTTATTACTACAATATTCTTCCCCTGGATCCCATTATACTTGCAGTATGCCTCAGCTCCAGCTAGTGCAAGTGCACCTGCTGGTTCTAATATGTTCCTTTTCTCCTCAAACATATCCTGCAACAAGTTTTACTCTTGTTATATCCCAAAAATTTAAGTCACACAAATATGTACTTCTTTTCATTCAATGGACTAGGCAATCAAAATTCTACATAAAATTAAGTTCACATTTATGATAGTATGAATAGAAGAGCTATATTGGGACCAATAAAAACTCCAACAGCTGAACAGCTATGCACCTAGAGACGGCGAGTAAGCAACAGATATAGATACGGGAAACGGGAAACAGATAAAGATAAATCTGGTGTTAAGAAATTCTTAACAGGCTCTTCTAATTACTGCCACCATTCTCTCAAATATCCTTCATCCAACCTCAACCGAGATACAGAAGAAAAAAAGCATAACCAAAGATGTATAAACACAAAGTATTTGATTATTCTTTAATTACACAGCAACTAGAAATAGTTTGCCAAGATATTCTAGTTCCTCTAGCTATTGTATGAACTATACTCCTCCAGCATCCAATTTGAAAATTGATATTACTTGCTGTGTGTTTCATAAGTCATCAAGCAAATCTCAATTATTAATACAATCAAATACTTTGCAAATATATGAATTGCACTAAGGAGAATATCATATATATGAAGTTAATATAAATCTGATAAGCATCAGAGATTTAGAATGCAAACTTCACAAGCAAATGAACATCTCACCTTTATCGATGCACATATTGAATCACGGCTTACTAGAACAACACCATCTATCAACTCCTTGCATATGCGAAAAGTTTCTTCACCAACCTCTTTAACAGCTACACCATCTGCAAATCCTCCAACCTGGTCCAGAATCACTCTCTGGTCATGATGGAGTGACAATGCCATTGCATTTGCATCAGTGGGCTCCACCCCAATAATCTTCACCTGTGAGTTCATACTAGACATCAACAATCATATCTTAAAATGAAGAAAGACAATCAAAATCAAAACAACCAATAACATAAAATCATGTAAACCTCTGGAGAAACCCTCTTCACATAAGCTGCAATACCAGCAATGAGACCACCACCTCCCACAGGCACAAAGATTGCAAACAATTCATTAGGCATTTGGCGCACAATTTCCATCCCAACCGTCCCCTGACCCATAATGACATCGGGGTGATCAAAAGGAGGTATGAATGTCCTACCCTCCTCTAGCCCCCGCTTCTTAGCATATGCTTGTGCCTCATCATAGGAATCTCCCACAAGCACAACCGTGGCACCCAGCGCCTCCACAGATTTCCACTGTAAAGTTACAAGAAACAAAAACAAATAACTTAATTGAACATGTTTTCTTTCTCTTAAGAAACAAGAAAGCAATAACAAACACAAACAAAACACACCTTGATTTCTGGAGTGGTAACAGGCATAGCAATCACCGCACTGCAATTCAACCTCTTGGCAGATAATGCAACTCCTTGAGCATGATTCCCAGCAGACGAGCAAATAACCCCCTTCTCCAACGTTTCACTCGGAAGCTTTGCCATCATATTATAAGCTCCACGAAGCTTGAACGAGAAAACCTACACCGCAATTTCAAATACTCATTCAGTAACACACAAACGTATGTTGCTTACTCATTTTTCAGCAAACTAGATAGTATCTCTAAAACACAAAACAAAACCCCACTATGACAAAATCCAAGGAAACACATTAAGCCTGCCATGGCTAAAACTTATAAACAAAAACAAGAAAAACTGGAGCAAAAAAAAAAAAAAAAATCTTTTAAAAGAGCAAAAGATTTATTTTTAAGAATTTCAAATTATTGGATTTTATAATAAATAAAAATAGGGTAATTTCTGATTAGTACAGAGTGTAACGTAGCTACAAAAATAAAATTTTGAACAATGATTGCACATCAAAATGAAAACTTGACATGGACCCATGTATGTAAACAAGGTGGGAACTTACAGGCTGCAAATCCTCCCTCTTGAGCCAAACATTAACACCGAGTCTATCAGAAAGCTTTGGCGCCAATTGAAGAGGGGACTCAATGGCCACGTCATAGACCTTGGAAGAGAGAATATTCGTCAAATAAGTCATCGCACCCATCACGCCCTCGCTCGTTTCGGAACCCGACCGGCTCGGAATCGCGCCGACGTAGCCAGGCGGGTACTGGAGGGATTCCGGCGACACCCGGGGCCGCGGAGGAGCCACCGCCGAGAGATCCTCCACAACCACGGCGGAGGCGGTGGAAGAGTGCGCAGCCTCCGGCGGTTTGGACAGCTTGGCGGCGACGAAGGGCTTAATACGGGGGCGCGGCGGAACGGGGCAGCGCGCCATTTCGCGGCTGTGGTGGCGGCGGAGCAGTGGCGCGGGTGTAGGTGTGACGCGCAGGGCATCCATAGTGTGGTTGGGGCAAAAAATTTATGAGTTTAGAAAGAATTGTAATTTGTAAGTGGTTTACATATATAGTTTATATAATAAGGTGGTGTATATAATATGATGTAAATCAATAAATACACGTTTGTGATAAAAAATAATATTATTATTTGTTTTGTCTTCTGTTTTGGTCTGAGAGTTATTATTATTTTAAAGGTGATGGTAGAGAGAGGAGGAGAGAGATCTTGTGCAATGCCAATGGGTAGGGTAGGGTACTAGAAATGTTTGTCTGTGTCTCATGTTGTGAATAATGTAATAGTGTGTTTCTGTAGTGGCATGGGGTCAGCTTCCTCAACTACTTAAGGTTTGGATCCTCTCTGGCTAAATACTTCACCACCATCTATCAAAATCTGAACCCTTGAATCATAATTGCAACAGTGACGAGTAAGGAAAACAAAAGAGAGAATTTGATCTATGATTAAGATTTTGTAGGAGAAGCAGAGGATCATGGAAAAGTTGGTCATGCCCCACACGATAATATTTTTTTATATTTTAAAAGCTAAAAAACATATATTTTAAATTTGAGGACAAAAAGATATATGTAAGAAATAAAATTATTTTTCTTTGAAATTACAGGAATTAAGAAGATAAATCGTGAATTTGTATGACAAAAATAATTTTTTATATTTTAGGGGCAAAAAAACTTATTAAATTTGAAGGATTAAAAATATAATTAATCCATGTTTACTTATAAATTATGTTTTAGATTTATAAAAAATAGTTTAAATTATAATTAAAATAAGTAGATAGTTTTTGATTTTGCAGAAGATTTTGTTAAAAGAGACAAAATTTATTTAAGTGATCTCTACTTTTTTTTGTTGAAAAGAATTAATTTCTAATTATCAATTGAGAATATCCTTGATTCACGTCAAAATAAAAAGTTGTTAAAAAATTAAATATATAGATAAAAATAAGTTAATAAATAATCATTTTAATTTTTTTTAACTAGATACATGTTGGGTTGTTAAGAATCGAACCAAACCATTTTAAATCACCAAATTGAAAAATAAATAAATAAACTGACCTAATTGAAACCAACAAAAAAAAAATGGTCTTGTTTAGGTTTTGGTTCTCGTAAAAATGATGCACCACATATCATCATAATTTTTACAAAGCACTTAGGCAAGTTGCATAAATGGGTGCTATTATTATTCAAATTAAAGCAAAGGAAATGAAGTTCAATCATGAGAGAAGCACTTGGACAAAAGAAAAAGAATTTTGGAGCTTGTGATATGGTGCACAGCCATGATAATTTTACATGCCCTTAAACCTCTTGGGAGCACACAAGCAGTGCATCCAATGAAGCACCTCTACACCTTCTTGTGGCACAAGAAGAAGATAAAAAGGACTTTGTTGATGTCCAGCGTCATGTTTGAAGGCTTTGATCCCCCTTTACTCAACTACCTATACTTTCACCTTAACCTTTTTCTGCTATGTTGTTCTAATCATAAGTCAGTCAGTACTATTAGAGTATTGTTCGCTTTGATATTAACTGTTGTAATTTTGCGTTTGAAAAAATGTTCAACTAAGTTAAAAAGGAAAGATATTTATAATTTACTTTTAATCTTGATTTTTAAATAATGTAAGATTTTTAGACATACAATAATATATATTTTTCTAAAACTTTGGTTTTTTAGAGAATAATGTGATTCCTATGCTATTTGTCTAATGATAAAAGGGGATTAAAGGAAAAAATAGACGTTTATATCAATTGTTGTAAAAAAAATAATAATAAAAAAAATAAGCATACTTATTTGTCCTTTGTTTTGATGTATATAACTCTTGTTGTTCGATATTTATGTATATACAATGTTATGCTTCTACTGATTGTTATGATGTAATCATTATTCTATGCTATACTATGAATATGATACATATCTTTTTTTTTTAGCTCTAATATATGTTGGTAGCATAAAATTGATGTTAAGTTGCATGGATATTTTACTTGTAATAGTCTTGATATTTGGTCTTTTATATATATATATATATACCTTCTTTGATTTGAACTTATCCAGTTCAAAATCTTGACCAAAATGCTATAATCTGATTCAAAAATTGAAAATAAAAATTCATAACATATCATAAATTCAAAGACAGAAACATGGTTCAGAAACTGAAAATAAAAATTCAGAACATAACATATACTAAAAATGTTTAAAGAAATTACTGAGAAAGGAAATCATCTAGGTAACGCTGAAGGGAAACCCTAAACCACAAAAATTCAGGTTGTACCTCCTCAAGAACAGGTTGTTATTGATGGGGTACATCGTCAATGACTTCAAGGGGAAACACCATTTCATTTCATCCTTGACTGTATAGTGTCAAATTGGTAGTAAGTGGTTCACTTCAGTTTGACTAACAATGAAATAAAACTTGCTACTATTATCCTTAGTGATACACTGCATTGTCCTTAATGATACACTGTATAGCCCAAATGTTTAGCAATCGAAGTTATCAATCTCATTGACAATATTACCAAATCTAGTGTTTGAAATGCTTTGTACGTTAGGTTTTTTTTTGTGAAATTCTGGAACCAGAACGGGCCTTTCTGGTTCCAGGTGTATTTAAGAAATTTGGGATCCATCTACGCGTCTATGTGACATCTACGTGGCATCCACCTGGCATCCACGTGGCCACCAGTTAACTCCATTTAAATCATTTGGACGGAAGTCCCAAATTACAATACCATTTAGTAAACATTACTTACGAATTTATTTTTGCAAGAAAATCTACAAGAAACAAAATAAAATTCTTACAATATTTTCTGCAAATTTTTACCATGGAAATTTTTTTTCCATGATTATTAAAATTGTAGCAAATTTTGTAAGAAATATCTGTAAATTATATTTTGCAGGAAAATTTGCAAAACATTTCTGCGAATATTTCTTTGTAGGAAAATTCACAAAAAATTTCTGCAAATATTTTTTTTCAGGAAAATTTGCAAAAACTTTCTACGAATATTTTTTTGCAAGAAAATTTGAAAAAAAAATAACACTTTTCTAGTAGTGTTATCTCTTGTCACGAGCTTATATTGTTAGGATTGGCCTTGACATGACTTATATAAGAAATTTCATGTATAACTAATATTTTCTTATGAGCAAAAAACTTAGAGATACTAACTAACAAATACAATCACCATAAAAGTGCCAATGACTAGTATAAAAAAAATAAGAAATTAGAAAAAGTAGCAACAATGTCTTTTATTGAGATAAAATATGTAACATATAAAACCAACAACAATGTTAGTTTTTTCTTATTATCAAAATATAACATTTCAACAATGTCAATGAAAATTTAGCCAACATTCAAGATTTAACAAATAATTTGAAAAAGGTTAAAATATATATAATTATAATTAATATTTTAATATAAACAAACAAACAAATATGAAACTTCTCTTTTGAAGTTGAGCTCATCTTTGATCTATACAGTGAAATCATCAATTGTTATATTTGTAGTAATTTTTCAACAATTAATCTCTTATTTGATATAAATAATCATGTAATGAAAGTCATCTTTCATCTTATTTGTTTAATCTTGTTTTAATAACTTTCATAAATGAAAAAAAAAAAAAAGTTACGTGATTATCACCGATACAAAAAATAGTCAAAACAAATCGTAAAGAATTATCGATTAGAGGATACATAAAAATGAGTTTTCAAGCATTCAAAGTTTTGTTGTGTGTGTGTGTAAGAGAGAAGTAGAAAAGACGTTTCTTTTTGGTTAAAACCCTTATTTGATCCCTTATAATAATTTTTTGTTTCAATTTAGTCCTACTTTAATTTTTTGTTTCAATTTAGTCCTACTTTAATTTTTTGTTTCAATTTGGTCCCCATAATTTAAATTATTGCAATTTGGGACTTCCGTCCAAATGAATTAAACGGAGTTAACTATTAGTCACGTGGATGCCAGGTGGATGCCACGTAGATGCATAGGAACCAGAATGGCCCGTTCTGAAACCAGAACGGCCCGTTCTACTTGCACATGTTATGTGTTAATTTTGCAACTGAAATGGGCCGTTCCAAATGCAAATTTAACACAACATTAGGTCGTTCTGCTTTTAGAACAGGCCAGAACGGCCCGCTCTAGAACGCCAACTTCATGCTTTTTTTTTATTATATATATATTAATAAAAATACAATAAATTAATATTCTTTTATGAATAAAACTATAAAAAAAAGAATCAAATAAGATAAGACCTTCCAAAATCCTTCTTTGATTTGAACTTATCCAGTTCAAAATCTTGACCAAAATGCTATAATCTGATTCAAAAATTGAAAATAAAAATTCATAACATATCATAAATTCAAAGACAGAAACATGGTTCAGAAACTGAAAATAAAAATTCAGAACATAACATATACTAAAAATGTTTAAAGAAATTACTGAGAAAGGAAATCATCTAGGTAACGCTGAAGGGAAAAAGCGAATTCGCAATTCCCACCAATGTTTTGAATATGACAAATATAATACATATTGTTATTACTAACATGTGCATTAGTATTTTAGTCGGATAACAAAAAGTTCAAACAATGAAACATGATTATATACGTAAACATCCTAACATATAACTTGAACTATGTTGCTTTTCAAAAAAGTAGAGTCCGACACTCAAAAAAACAATTAATGCACTATAACAAAAATTGTTTTTAACGACAATTGTTTAATGGCAATAATTTAATTGCCGCTATTTAATTATATAATAAAAATATTAATGGCTAATATATAATAGCCACTAAAAGTGTATTTATATTACACTAAAGTTTACTATTAGCGATAATTATTTATTGAAAAAAACTAGTCCTATATCGATTAGAGATAAGATAATTAAATAGTATATAAGTGAGTAATAACTATCATCTTATAAGTTAATTTATAGGGTTGAGTTAGACTCTTAATTCACTATAATAAATTAGTATAAAACCATCCACTATTACCAAGTTCAATAGTGCTATAAAACAATTAGAGAGCAACTTTCACCTTATAAATCTCACATCTCTTAAGAGATAAGACAATTAAA